GCACGAGGCGAGTGGGTGAAGATATTTCCGAAAACTCAACGAGAGCGACTTGTCCATCTCTGATCTTTTGAACATTAGAAACCGGGCCAAATCTTGAGAATAAACCAATGAGATCACGTTCACTGACGGCAGGTGGGATATCAATGACAGCAATAGTAGAGCTGGGTTGCGAAGTTAAAAGATAGGAAAGATCACTAGCTAGTTGAAGACTGGATGGGACGGTACCAGTGGTGTTGTAAAATTGTGCAGTGGCGGCGGCAACGGCATCATACCGGCCCCTCCTCTGGCTCTGGTTCATGCTAATGGCCAAGTCGAAAAAAATATAAGTGGCGCTGCGAGATGCAAGGAAGCTATTTAAAACCAAAAGGTCTGCGTCATGACAGAATAAATAATCATTTTAATCCAAACTAGTAAAATCTTCATATGATAAATTTGACTAAATGGAGCCACTATTTGTTTTTAAGTCTTTAAATATAAGAATATATCACTCATATACTTGCTTGGATTTTTGAGATTAGTCATAGGGTAAATAGTAAATGTCTTCATACGTCCAAGCAACTACAAATTTTCCGAAAAGTATATAGTACTCTTTTGTGTAAACGATCAGCAATTTCCCTAATTACAAATCATCAGTTATTCAGATTACCTAAATTTATCATTAGTTTGTAGTAACTGGGGCGTGTAAGTGAGAAGTTATTGTATAAGAGGTCATTGAGTTTTGATTTTTTTAATAAAAATTAGGCAGCATAACCTTGAATATAATTTATGCTTAGACAAAAACTCCATTACTAATATCTTGAATAAAACTGCTTCTAAAATATGTCTTCTTAGACGTATAAATGCTTATGATATACCAGAAACTATGGTTTATTTGAATGTCAGTAAAGAATTTGGGGTGCCTAAATGTAATTTTTTACATAAATAGAAATAAGAAATCTTGTGAAAAATAGATGGTTCCAAAGAATTCCTTAGTTATTTAGCGTGGCAGAACTTTCCATTCTTAAGGAAAATTTAGGATGAATTAATGAATTGTTCTTACTGAAATGTGTCGAAGGATCACCGTGGAGCAAGGACTGTTTAATTTTGCGGAATTGTCCTCAGCACACCGTCCTACTTAGCACAAATTTAACGGAGTACCAGGACGGTGAGCCGAAGACTTCTTCGCACAATCGAACGGTCTTAACACCAAGGAATTCCTCATTTGGCTTACAGTGAGATCAAGTTACAATTTTATCCTCCAAGTTTTGCTTGTAAATAGAAAGTTATGTTACAACTTACTAAAATAGGCAACGTTTTTATTGATTAGATGGGATCATCTTTACATTTAGCTACTCTTTCAATTATTGTGGCTTACAACTCTGGATTTGTTTAACACAATAGCAAAAGTACAAAATTTGATTCGAAACGTTAATTTCAGAGTTTAAAAGTTAGCTAGAGAAACGAAAGGGGTTAGAATTAAGCATTATTAAATAAAACATATAACTAGGTTTTGTACACGATAGCATCAATAGTTATTTTGTTTAATAAATACAGCTTAAAATGAATACAAATGAATGGGTTACATTAATTGC